TGTGATTCCTGTGTTTCTTATTCTTACTTATGCTTTTCACTTTTCCATTCTTTTAACATTTCTTGTAGGGCTGGTATAGTGATCATGAGTTCTTTTGATTTTTGTTTGTCTGGGAAACTATCGCTCCTTCTATTCTGAGTGATAGCCATGCTGGATAGAGTATTCTTGGCTGCAAATTTTTCCCTTTGAGCACTTTGAATATATCATGTCAATCCCTTCTGGACTGCAAAGTTTCTGCTGAAAAATCAGCTTATAGCTTAATGGGGTTTCCTTTGTAAGTAGCTATCTTCTTTTCTCTTGCAACTTTAACATTCTTTATCACTTTTGTTTTTGATATTTTAATTACTATGTGTCTTGGTGTGGACCTTCTTGGGTTGAATTTGTTAGGGGATGTCTGTGCCTCCTGTATTTGGATCTCTGTTTCCCTCCCCAGATTTAGGAAGTTTTCAGATATTATTTCTTCAAATACATTTTTTGTCTCCCCCCCCCCTTTCTCTTTCTTCTTCTGGGATCCTTCTAATATGAATGTAATTATGCTTGATGGAGCCACTGAGTTATATAAGTCTGTTCTTCACTTTATCTTAGCCCAAAGGCTGGGAGGCAATGTCTATTCTCATCATGTAGTATTTGTCTCTCACCTGTTCAGCTTGATTACTTTCCTTTATTCTATCCTCCACATCACTGATATGTTCCTCTGCTTCCTGTAGCCTACTATTTATTCCATCTATTGTATTTTTAATTTCATTTATTCTGTTCTTCATCTCTGATATATTATTTTTTATCCTTTTTTCAAGGTTTTCACTGGTGTCTTCACCATTTTCTGAAGTCCAGTGACTATCTTAAGTTCATTACTTTAAATTTTGTATCAGGCATATGATTTATTTCTCTTTCACTTAAACTTCCTGCTGTGATTTTGTTTTGTTTTTTCATTTGAGACATATTTCTCTGTCTCCTCATTTTGTCTAACCTTCTGTGTCTGTTTCTTATGTGTTAGGAGTCAGCTGTGTCTTCTGCTCTTGAAAGTAGTGGCTTTATGAAGAAGAGGTCCTGTAGTGTCCCACAGTGCAGTATTCCCTGTTCACCAGAACCTGGCTCTTCAGAGGAGTCTCCTATGTGTGTTGCCTGCATCCTGCTATTGTGTCTGAGTCACTTTTCATTTCAGTCCAGATGTCTGCCCTGACTTTTTGCCTATTGTGGGCTGTGCTTGCTCTCTGCAATGTTAGTGAGGTCCAGGTAGGCCAGCTCTGGGGGTGTGACAGCAGAAGGACGCGGGGGCAGGGCGGTGGTGTTAGCAAAATTTGTACCCAACCCTTAGTCCTAGGCTGAACCTCCCACAGCCAAGTGGGAGGGTGTAGTGGTGGCAGCCAAAGCGGGGGTGGGGGGTGCTTGGCAGCTGGGTGGGGCACATGTGATGTTAGCAAAATTTGCACTGAGCTACTGGTCCTAAGTTGGACCCTCCAACGTGTGGTGGCTGCAGGAGCACAGCATGTACAGGCAGTGGGTGGGTGCAGTGTGCATAGCATTAACAAAAGCTGCACTGGGTCCAGAGCTGAGACAGCAAGCTTGGAGTTGGTGAGTCCTCAGAAGAACTTGGGCAGGGCACAGTACTAGCAGGTTAGGTAGCAAGTGCTTGTGCAGCGCCACCCCTCCCAGATGGCTCTGTGTTTATGTTTGGGGGCAGGGGAGGAAAATGGCACCTGCCAACTCCTTTGTTCCCAGAGAAGTCCCCCAATAAGCTCTGAAATCAGTAGAAACAGATCTCCCTCCCATTCTTCAAGCTGTTGCTTCTATGTTGCCTCTCCTCAGGCTGTTGTTGCTTTGAGGGCAGACACCCAGCTATCACTTGCCCTCTGACATTGAAAACTCCAGGCTCCAAGTTGTGCTGGTTATACAATCTCACAGAATTCAGCCCTGTTGGTTTTCAAAGCCAGACTTATGGGGATTTGCTTTCCCTGTGTGGGCTTCCTGGTATTTTCCCCTCTTCATGACCACAGCTCTCTCCCTCCTGTGGGCAACTCTTGACCACAGTTTCTGCATTTCCTAGTTTCTCTGATACAGCTTCTCCACATTTAGTTGGGGAGGTTGTTCTGCCAGCCTTTGGATCTCTTTCTGGTTTATTGACTTAGATATGACTGATATCTAGCTGTAAATATGGGATGGGGGTATGCTTAGGATCTTCCTACTCTGCCATCTTCCCAGCACCCTTGAAACATTTTCTAATTTTGACTTCCTTGACAGTGTACCTTTCTGTTTTTCCAGTTAAATATTGATTCTTCTATTGTTTTGCTAGATTTCTAAATGATGGTGGGCTGAAGGGCACAGTCCGAAGTTCTTCTCTTCCCTTCCAGCAATCACTCCCTGCTTAGTCTCACCCAGTTCTATAAACTTAGATACCCTCTATTAATTGATACCCTATATATTCAGGCTTGACTTCTCTCCTAAAGTTCCTACATGTATATCTGAGGATTTGACATTTCTAATGGATGTCCAATAGACTTTCAAACTTATATCCAAGATGTAATTCCTAGTTTATCACTATTCCCTCAGCCTGCTCCTCTTTCTAATCATCTTTTCATTTCAGTAAATGACATGATCAACTACTCAGTTCCTCATGGTAAAAACGTAGATGTTAGCATTAATTCTGTCATTTCACTTATCTTTCCTTACCTCATCCAACCTATCAGCAAGCCCTGCTAACTTTACCTGCAAAACACATCCCCAATCCAACCCCTTCTTTCCATATCCTTTACTTCCATATTAGTCCAAGACACTATCATCTCTGACCTGAACTATGAAATAGCCTCCTAAAGCTCTCTGCTTTCACTCTTGCTCAATTAAAATTTAGGCTTCACAGAGAAGTAAGAAAAATCTTTTAAAAATATGAATCAGAACTCTCATACATTGCTGGTTGGAGTAAGTACCCACTTTGGAAAACTCTTTAGCAATTTGCTATAAAGTTAACTATATGATCCAGCAATTCCACTCTTAGGTATTTACCCAAGAGAAGTGAAAACACATGTACAAAAATATTTATACAAGAATGTTCATAGCAGCCTTATTCCTAATAACTAAAAACTGGAAATGACCCAAATGTCCATTAACAGAATAAGTAAACTGAGGTATATTTATACACTGAAATACTACTCATTAGTAAAAAGAATGGAATACACATAAATATAACATGCATGAATCTCAAAAATATGTTAAATGAAAAAAAAGTAGACATAAAAAAGTCCATATGATTCTATGATTCTATTTGAATGAAATTCAAGACTAGACAAAATTAATCTATGGTAATAAAAATCAGGATAATGATTGCTTTTGGGTGGGAGGTGGGGAGTGATGCCTGGAAAGGAGCATGAGGGAAATTTACAGGGTGATGGAAATTTGTATATTTTGACTGAGGCTGTGAATACATGGGAATATATTTGCTGAAATTCATCATCATACATTTAAAATCTATGTACTTTATTTTATGTAAATTATATCTAAAATTTTAAAGAGTGTTACAAAAATGTAAATCATCTATAGGTGACATTATAGTGTCCTTAAAAGGGGGGATGATATTACTGCTACCTCATGGGGTGGTTATGAAGTCTAAATGAGATCACATACAAAGCACTTAGAACAGTGCCTAGTATGTAGTAAGCACTCAGTGTTAGCCATTATTATGCTGATAATATTATTCCCCTGCTTAAAACCTTATGATGGCACAATAAATAAAATCAAACTCCATTTCTAGCCTATTTGATCTGGCCCTTATCTACATCTATTTGATCTGGCCCTTATCTACATCTTCAATCTCATCATTATTTCCCTCACTCAGTATAGTCTACTCACACTAGCCTTCTTTCCCTTTAGTGAACAATACCAAGAACATTACCATTTGGGGTTTGTGTACTTGCTATCCCTTCAGCTTAGAAAGCTCTCTGACAAAGTCTTCAAATGTCTGGCTCTTTCTTTTGACTCAGATCTCAGATTAAATACCACTCACTTGAAGAGACATTCCTTGACCGCTTTATTTTTCATTATCTGTCTCCTCCCAATGGCACTGCTAGTCTATGAAACAGGAATCCTGTCTGACTTGTTCACAGTTGTATCCTCAGTCCCTAGAACAATGGCAGGCACCCAATAAATATTTGTTAAAAGAATGAATAAGTGAAGATTTTCTAGTTTTCTGACCTGTGCAAGTGAACAGATAATATGCATTAACTTTCTGAAATAGGGAATATTGGAAGAGTATGTGCAAGAACATGTTAAAATTTACATTTTTAAGCATCAAACAAAGCAAATACTGAACTAAATATTCAAAACCACCAAATTTTAGGGTTTTCTGTCTCTGGAAAAAGACTATATTTAGACTATACCAGGGCATTCTGTCAGCTCTTATCTTTTTTTTTTTTTTTCAACATTTATTTATTTTTGCGACAGAGAGAGACAGAGCATGAACGGGGGAGGGGCAGAGAGAGAGGGAGACACAGAATCGGAAACAGGCTCCAGGCTCTGAGCCATCAGCCCAGAGCCCGACGCGGGGCTCGAACTCCCGGACCGCGAGATCGTGACCTGGCTGAAGTCGGACGCTTAACCGACTGCGCCACCCAGGCGCCCCTTAAATATCTCCTAAAGAAAGAGAATTTTTCCATGTTGGTAATGTTTTTAACATTAGAAATGTTAAATGTTTCTAAATTAGAAATCAAAAAATTTTTTAATGTCAAGCCTTATAATTTGAACCCATGTCTTCCAAAGAATAAAATATATCTCATTATTCCTTAAAATTTTAATGCATGAAGACTGCTATGATAGTACTTATACTATTATTCTAGTAGGACTTCTCTTTCCAGGCTATTTTAAACATGTGAAGATTTTCCTCCCCAATCAAAGGGTCTGTAACCAAACCTCAAATTATAGAATCTATACTATTATAGTTATTTAATACCATTTGAAAAAGTCTTTCATTGGATTTTTAAGGGGAAAGAAGTTAAATATTTAATAAACCTTACCTTCGTTTGCAAATCAGGAACCACAAAGCTGATGCCAAAGCAAAGAAACCAATTCCCAAAGTAACAGCACCAGCAGCCAGAAAATAGGTTAAGGGGTTTAAAAAGCCTATACAAATAAATGATAAAAGATTATTTCATACATATATCTTCATTCTCCAGGTAAAATTATGTAACAAAGTATTTCAAAAGATATTACATAGTGTAGTATTAAGACATTAACCAGGAAGTTGGGAGACTTGAATTTTAGGGTCCTGTGCAATTCTAACAAATTTCAAGACTCTGAATTTGAGATTTACACAGGACCTCATGATGATTAGGGTCAGGGCACATGTCTTTGACTCTGCTTGGATTTGATACCTAAATTTTGTTTGTTTTTGTACAGCCATCATCTCTTTTTTTCTTATCTAGCTTTCTCCTTTCCCAATCCAGTTGTGAATCTTTTGTTATCTTTTCAGTATCATTCTTTGCAGTCCTCTAAATAAGACACTTTTCATTTTAAAATTTGTATTATCTGGGGCACCTGGGTGGCTCAGTAGGTTGAGCACCCAACTCTTGGATTCGGCTCAGGTCATGATCCCAGGGTTGTGGGATTAAGCCCTGTGTCAGGCTCCATTCTGAGCATGGAGACTGCTTGAGATTCTTTCTCTCTCCCCCTCTGCCCCTCCCCCCTGCTCACACACACACACACACACACACACACTCTCTCTCTCTCTCAAATTAAAAGATAAAATAAAATTTGTATTATCAATTACTACAAGAAAGTAGATGGGGGTAATAAAGAACAAATGTGAGAAACTTCAAATTATTTTAGAAATCTTTGTCTTATCTCCATTTTATCCTAGGAACAATAAAAGATGGTGGCCAAAAGTTAAATAAAAGCAATATAAAATAATAGCAATGTAAATCAATATATACAAAACAATATAAAATAATAATAATAAAATAACAAATAGGTTAAGGGGTTTAAAAAACCTATACAGGGGCGCCTGGGTGGCGCAGTCGGTTAAGCGTCCGACTTCAGCCAGGTCACGATCTCACGGTCCGTGAGTTCGAGCCCCGCGGCAGGCTCTGGGCTGATGGCTCAGAGCCTGGAGCCTGTTTCCGATTCTGTGTCTCCCTCTCTCTCTGCTCCTCCCCCGTTCATGCTCTGTCTCTCTCTGTCCCAAAAATAAATAAATGTTGAAAAAAAAATTTAAAAAAAATAATAATAAAAATAAAAAACCTATACAAATAAATTATAAAAGATTATTTCATGCCTATATCTTCATTCTCCACGTAAAATTAAATGACATAGTATTTCAAAAGATAGTACACAGTGTAGTGTTAAGACATTAATCAGGAGGTCAGGAGACAAACTTGCAAGTTTATAATTGGAAAAGCCTATTGGAATTATATGGTATAACTCTTTCATTTTACAGATGATAAAATTGAGGTCCACGTAAGAGAAGGACCTGAATTGAGATTAGGCAGCAGATTAAAGCCAATCCTCTGTTTTTGTTTTTATTTTGTTTTTTTCCTATTATCCCTACTACCAATCATCTTGATACTGGTATATATTGAAAAGAATTAAAACTAAAGAATACATGATGTAATTATAGTCAAGTTGGTCAAGTATTTATTAAGATTCTGGTATCTGATACCTAAAAATAAAGCAAGTTGTGGGAAACTTTCACAGAAAGCTGTATACAACATGAAGGGCCTTAAAATAATTTAAAAGTAAAGTTGACCCTTGAACTACATGAGGGTCAGGGGCACCAACCTCTGCATAGTCACAAATCCCTATATAACTTTTGACTCCCTCAAAACTTAACTACTTACATATATAAATATATAAACAATAGCTTACTATTGACAGGAAGCCTTACCAATGTATAGTCAATTAACACATATTTTGTATGTTGTATGTATTACATACTGTAGTCTTACAATAAATAAGCTAGAGAAAAGAAAATAATAAGAAAATCATGAGGAGTAAATACACTGATAGTCCTATACTATATCAAAAATCATCAACTTATAAGTGGATCTGCACAGTTCAACCCATGTTGCTCAAAGGTTGACTGCATGTTACCTGGGAAAAAAGGCTTTAAAAATGTAAAACTATAGAATACAAACTGATGGTTACCAGAAGAGAGGTGAGTAGGGTGATGGGTTAAATAGGTGATGGGGATTAAGGAGTGCGCTTGTGATGAGCACTGGGTGTTGGATAAAAGTTTTGAATCACTAAATTATATGCCTGAAACTAATATTACACTGTATGTTAACTAACTGGAATTTAAATAAAAATTTTAAAAAGTAAAATAAAACTTATGAAGATCTTTATATGAGAACACATCATAAATTCCACTAAAAATATGACATGATAAAGACTTTGTTGTTCCCATACTTCTGTTATTTCCTAAGTAATTTCCAGTTTCCAAGATGGTGCCTCTCAAGTCTTAGTTTTCTTTGGGTTCAAAAAATGTCTAAATTTGGGAATTAATGGTACCAAAAAGTTATACCGAAAAGTGATACTTATAATACAAAAAAAAACCCTTTTAAGTGCACATTAGGAAGTCACTTAAATATGTTATGATGATGTTATGTATAAAAAATATCATGTTCTTTAATTATTTAGTGCAGGGTTTCTCAACTTCAATACTAATTATCTTTTGGACCAGATAATGTGTTATAAGGATTGTCCTGTGCATTGTACTAAAGATGTCTCCAGGCAAATGTGTTCTGGGGGCAAAACTGCCCCCAATTGAGAATCATTGGCACAGTGGTATGAGGAAATATCAGATAGCATTCAATGATAAAAGCAAGACAGATAAAATGCATATTTTTTAAAAATTGAAAAAGAAATAGTTGTACTCAAATATAAGATAAAGATTTCTAGAGGTGCCTGGCTGGCTCAGTTGGAAGAGCATGCAACTCTTTATTTCAGGGTCATGAATTTGAGCCCTATGAGGGGTGTAGCGATTACTTAAAGAAATAAAACTTTGAAAAAAAAAGATAAAAATTTCTATAGACAAAAAAAAAAAAAAAAAAAAAAAAAAAGAAAGAAAGAAAAGCAACACAGAGACATAAGTAGAGGCTAAAACCATAAGCATGTGAAGCACTGAGATCTGGAAGCAAGAATTAGCTAGAAGAAACAGAGAAAATCATTGAGACAAGACCTAGATCAAACCATCCTTTGGTACTGTGAATGACCCTATTGTAATGGAGTCCTGATCCACCAATAAAAGACCTAAGAAGGGGGTGCCTGGGTGGCTCAGTCGGTTTAACTTCTGACTTTGGCTTAGGTCATGATCTGGCGATTCATGAGTTGGAGCTCACATTGGGCTCTGAGCTGACAGCATGGAACCTGGAGCCTGCTTCGGATTCTGTGTCTCCCTCTCTCTCTGCCCCTAACCCCTCGAGCGCGCTCGCTCCCTCTCTCTCAGAAATAAATAAACATTAAAAAAGTTTTTAAAAGACCAAGAAGGAATCTTGGAGAATGAAAAATTTAAAAATTTCATGATAAAGTCTTCTTTGAACACAATTAATGAAATGAAAGATAAGACTGAGAAACTTGCCAAGTTACATAAAGAAACGAAAAATATAAAGAAATTATGAGACTTGGAAAAGATTAGGAGTGTATATTTAAAAGTAATATGGGTTCCAAAAAAAAAAAAAAAAAAAAAAAAAAGAATAGAAGAGTAGCAGAGAAGAGGTATCTGGAGCAACAACCTAAGGATTTTACTTTAAAATTTTTTAAAATTTATTGGTGTGTGTGTGTAGTTCCATACGTTTTGACAAATACAAAGAGTGTTTAATCACATCACCATAACCAAGTTACATGACACTTTCATCACCTCCCCAAATTTCCTCATACTGCCTCTTAGTGGTCAAGCACCAATTGCTGGCAACCATTGTTTATTTTCAATCCCCATTCTCTATCCTTATACTTTTGCCTTTTCCAGAATTTCACATAAATGGAATCATACAGCATGTGGCCTTTTGAGTCTGGCTTTTTTTCACTTAGCATAATGCATCTGAGATTCACCCACATTGCTGCATGTATCAATAGTTCATTTCTTTTTATTGCTGAGTAACATCCCATTTTACGGATGTACCAGGTTTGTTTATTCCCCAGCTGAGAGACAGTTGGTTGTTTCCAGTTTGGGGTTGTTAGATTAAAGCTACTATACATTTGCATAAAAGTGTTTGTTTGAACATAAGTTTTTATTTCAGTAGGATCATGTAGCATGTATATATTTAAATGTATTGGGGTCCCTTGAGGGGCTCAGTCGGTTAAGTGTCCAACTTCCACTCAGGTCATGATCTCACAGTTTGTGAGTTTGAGCCCAGTGTCAGGTTCTATGCTGACAGCTCGGAGTCTGGAGGCTGCTTCAGATTCTGTCTCCCTCTCTCTGCCCCTACCCTGCTCACACTCTGTCTGCCTGTCTCTCTTTCTCAAAAATAACATTTTAAAAAATATATAAATCCATATATTTAAATGTATAAAAAACTGCCAAACTGCTGTCCAAAGTGTCGGTACCATCTTGCTTCTCCAACAGCATTATATGACAGTTCTACTTGCTCTGATTCATTGCCACCACTTGGTGTTAGTTTTATTTCAAGTATTCTAATAGATGTACAGTGGTATCTCCCTGTGGTTTTAATTTGCATTTCCTTAGTGAATAATGATGTTGAGCATCTTTGCACACATTTATTTGTCATCCATATATCTTCCTTAGTGAATAATTGACTCAAATCTTTGCTGATTTTTTACAATTCTTCAAGTCCTTGGTCAGATATGTGATTTGGAAATATTTTCTCCAAGTCTATGGCTTATCTTTTCAATTATTTTAAGAGTGTCTTTCTCAGAGCAAAACTTTTACATTTTGGTGATGTCTAATTTATTAACTTTTTGCTTGTGTGGCTTATACTATGGGTCCTATCTAAGAGCTCTTTGCCTAAGAGGCCACAAAGATTTTCTCCTATATTTTCCTATAAAGGAGTTATAGTTTTATGTTTTACATTTAATTTATTCTTCATTTTGAGTTACTTTTATATAAAGTATATGTCAATTTCTTCCCCCCCCCTTTGGATATGTTTATTGAAAAGACTATCCTTTTTTCACTGAGTTGTCTTTGTACCATTGTCAAAAATCAAATAGCTATATTAGTGTCAATTTGCAGACTCTCTATTCTCTCCCCTTGATGTAAGTTGTCTATCCTTTTGTCAATAACAACAACAATAGTAATATCTAATATTCATATAGTAAATACTACATGCCAGGCATTGTTCAATGTATTATATATTTAAATTCATTTAATTCTCACAAACAACTCTGAATTAAGTATAGTTATTTCTTCGTTTTATAGATGAGGAAGCAGATGAGGCACAATAAGTTTAAGGGACTTGCTTAAATGCACACAACCGCTAAGCGAGGGAACAATAGTAATTTAAAAATTGCTAAGGTCCTTTATTATTTAGATCAGGTGGAGAAGAGACATGGAATATCTTTCGATTTTGTCAGAAAAAAAAAACCCAGTTAAGTATGGATGCTAATATTCCATACAGTGGGAAAGAAAAAACTACAACTATGCACAACAAAGTAGATAAATTTCATAAATAATGTTGGGCAAAAGAAGACCAACACAAAATTCAAACACAGTTATCTGAGGAGTTCAAGAATGCTGATAATATTCTGTTTCTTGAGCTGGGTGCTGGTCATATAGGTGTGTTCAGTGAAAATTCATCAAGGCTAACACTTATAACTTTGAATAGATATATAGGTATCATCATGAATAGAACTGAAAAACATAATGTTCAATGAAAAAGCAATTTCCATAAATTTGGATTCAATTATTCCAGTTATGTACTGATTCCATGTACGCACATTAAAAGAAAACATAAAATAATGCTATTTTTAAAGCACATTAATATAATAGAAGTATTAAAATACATTAAATTCATGATATTTACTGTTTCTGGAGAGGGAATGAGGGGAATGGAACTGGGGATGGAACATAGACTTTATCTGTAATGTTTTATTTCTTTAAAAAATGAAATATCTGAAGCTTATATGACCAAAAAAATATGCATTGAGTAGATTACATGGGTGCTTGTCATCCCTTGTCCCTTTCCTTTTTCTTTTCACTTTCCTGGTGTGTGTGTGTGTGTGTGTGTGTATAATTATAATTAATTATATATTTATAATTATATATATATATAATACACATACATATATGTAGTCTCAATTTTGTAAAAAAAAAAAAAAAAAAAAAAAAAAAAAAAAGGAAAACAATCAACATTGGTTATCCCTGGAGTAAGGGCTTATAGTTACAATTTTCCACTCTAGACCTGTGTGTGTATATTTTCTACCATGAGTATCTTAGAAAAATCAGGAAAAATAATTTGAAGCTTCCTATGTAATTCTTGACACCTATGTAATTCCTGATATTACACGTCTCCTTGTAGAACCTTCTCTATTGTTATCACTGTGATGATAGCCCAACTGTCAGAGGAGATAGTTAACTGTCTCCTCTTGCAGATCTCTGCCCTCTTCTTTACTCCACCCCCCCAACCCCAAATCTCAATTAGGGAAGAAAATAGGTGTGATTGGTACACCATCATACTCCCTAATTTAAACAGGTCATTTACATCTCAGGGAAATCCCAATGAGGTATAAAGAATCCGAAAGTTTCCAAGCCACTTTACCAAGAGAAAGACACATTACATATTTGTTAATACCTTCAACAAGTCACACTTTCTCTCTAAATCCATCCGTAAAACAAAAAGACTGGACTCTGTGATCGTTAAGATCTCTTTCTCACTTTAAAGTTTTAATCAATATATATTTTAAAGAAACATTATATACAAACATAGTATTTTTACTTCCTTGATTCTGCTCTTAAGTATCCTGTCTAAAGTAAGGAATCCTCACTTTAAGCAGTTACTGTATCGCATCACCTTGTTTGTCTTTAATAATAACTATTATAAATAATTTTCTTTACTTACTGGTTTATCATCTATTGTCTCTCCTCCTTTACCAGAAGATAAGTCTTTCTTACTATGGTATTCTTAGAGTTTAGAATAATGACTGGTTACTCAGAAATGATTGAATATTCAATGAATGAATGAAAGTCACCGTGCTAAATGCTAGTATTACAAAAATGGATAAAATAAGTATGTTGTTTAGTAGGAAGAGCATACATGTGAAAAGGAATACTTGCAATTAAAAACTATCTAGGTATTGTAACAAGAAGAAATAAGTACAAAGTACAAAGAAATAAGTACAAAATGTGGATGCAGGTAGATTTATAAAAAGGTAGGGTAAATTTTAAAAAGCTCCGTAGTTTAGTTAAACATTACTTGAGAACTTTCTATTGCCAAACCTTTGCCAAGAATTGGTGATTCAAAGATAAATAACACATGATAATGGAGTTTATAATCTGGAGAAGACAAGACGTTTAAATGGGTATGTTCATTAAAATATTCCAAGTGCTATGATAATGACGTTTTGGCAGTGCTAAGACAACAGAAGCAGTTTGACCAAGTGCAGAAACTGTTCTAGAGATAACACCTGAGCTGAATCTTACAGAACAAGTAAGAGATAGCTAGGCAAGAACATTAAGTCTTAAATCAGGTTATGATTCTTCTATCTTAAAATAAATAAAACTCTCTCCCAGCAGACCCTCCACCATACAATTGATCCTTTCCTTACCATTTGCAGCCTAAACTCTTAAAATGAGAATTTCTACTTCTTCACATCTATTTCCAAGGCATTAATAACTCCATTAACACAAAAAATCAAAAGGCCACTAGTGGCCATTTTCTCTCTTTTGCCTTGGCATCAGTAAAGTAAATCCACTTGGTTTTCCTCCCCTTTATGTGTCTAAACCTTTATTGCCTTTATAGGTCTCTCTTCTTTAGCCCATCTATCCTTTAACATATCTATCTATATCTAAATACATCTAAATATATTGATATAAAGGATATATCTTTATATATCTATAAATATGCATATATAGGTATATATATGTATATCCTTTAACTGCATATATATATATATATATATATGTATATATCCTTTAACATATCTATTTAGATTTAGATTCTGTCTTGAGGTATTTAAGGGATATAGATAGATATAGATGTTACCTATATATATTTATATCTATATCTTTTCCCAAAACTACTAGGTATTTGTACCAGGAGTGTTTTCAGATTACTTTTTGCAATCATTCCAGAACTAAAAATCCTGTTTTATTTTTTGAGTTATTCCCAAATTACCTGTTTATTATACTCTTTTAGGGTTTTGCCAGCTTTCAGTCTCTTTTGAACACCATTTATATGTAGAATACTGTTTCATACACCAAGTGAGGGATAAAAAGTCATTTAAATAAGAATGAATCCTTGCCCTGAAATTTTAAAAATCTATAATAAGATATAAGCAAGGCTCATATGCAACCAGTATAAAAAACTGACCATACTGACTTTTTTAGTTGGTGTCTGCTCTGAGTGGTTAGAAAACTAACCAGACCTGTCTGTGAATATGGAAAAATTACTCATTTTGCTGATTGGCTTTTAATGTTCTTATCTGAAAAATGGGAGTCATACTATCTATCTCACATGATTAGAATTAGAAGTAAATGAGATAATGTTGCAAGGAATTAATAACATAAAAAACAGGAAGACATCTCAAGCTTCACATGCATACACCAGGCCATGAAGCAAGACTCAACAAGTTTTATAGAATCATTATTACATATACCACATTCTCTGAAAATAATGCAATTAATTTTGAAATTAATAACCTAATATATACCCTGAGAAAAGCTCCCATACTTCTGGAAACTTAAAATCACACTGTAAATAACTCATGCATTAAAAAAGAAATCAGTGGAAGTTTGAAAATAAATACAAATAACCAATAATGATATGTACAAATACTTGTAGCAACAAAGCTAGAACCAAATTCAAGGGAAATGTATGGTCCTAAATGCATATATTAGAAAAGAAAGCTGAAAAATAATGAGCTTATTCCTCAAATTACAAGTTGAAAAAGACCAGCAAAATAAGCCCAAATAACATAGAGGAAGGAAATAAATAAAGAACAAAAATTAATGAAATAAAAATTAAGATTTTTGGTAAATATTAATAAGATTGATGAATCTCTAGCTAGATTAATAACCAAATAAAAAGGCATAAGTAAACAATATTTAAAATGAAGAAAGAACATAATTATAAGCATAGCTGAGATTAAAATAAGAAAATACTTTCAACAAATTATTTTTAAACTTATAAAAATTATATATACCTAAAAGTGACTTACAAAAAGTGACTCAAGAAGTAATAGAAAACCTAAATGAACATGTATCCATTAAACTGAATCAGCAGTTACAAAATTTCCCCCAAAGAAAACAGCAGGCCCCAATAACTTTACAATTTCTACTGTATACCCATGATTCAAGTATTTCTTATCTTATACAAGCTCTTCCAGAAAATAGAAAGAGATTGCTGGTTGTTTGTCCAAATACATTTTCCTCTTCTTCCCAGGCAAAAAGCTAGACTATGTGTCCTAGCTTCCCATACCATTAGGTGAAGCCATATGATGGAGTTCTAACCAATGGAATTTGAATGGAAGTGATGTCATAAAAACCTCTCAAGCACCTTTCTCCTTTTAGGCTTGACTGGGATGGAGATTATCCCCAGGGAACTTTGGAGCCATGTGTTACCATGGATCTAATTAACATTTATAGGACACTCAACACAAATAAAATCAAAACACAACATATCAGGATTTGGGGGATGCCACGAAAAAAGAACATAGGGAAAAATTTACACCAAAAAACTGCAATATTAAAAAAAAAAGTGTGAAAAAACTTGAAAACTAAAGTAGAGTTGATTAAGCCTAATGTGAACAGAAGAAAAAATATTAAAAACTAAAGTGAAAACCAATGAAATAGAAAATAGAAAACAATACAGATGGTAACCCAAAATCAAAAGCTAGAAATAGATATGCAAAAAGAGAGAGGGAGAGAGAGAAGGAGGGGGAGAGAGAGAGAGAGAAAGGAATCCAAGCATATCACTAACGAAAGCCAACAAAACATAAGATAGCAAGAGAAGAAAAGATAAAGGAAATGTATAGAAACAATCATAAAACAAAAAACAAAATGGCAATAAATACGTATCTACCAAAAATTTAAACGGTCCAATCAAAAGACATAGGGTGAAAGAGTGTATAAAAAAAAAACAAGACCCATCTACAGGCTGCATACAAGACTCATTTCAGACAGGAAGACACCTGAAAATTGAAAGTGAGGGGGTGGAGAAACAGTCATCATGCAAATGGGTGTCAAAAGAAAGCCAGAGTAGCAATACTTATATTGGACAAAATAGACCTTAAAACAAAGAATAGAACAAGAGACAAAAAAAGACACTATATAATAATAAATGGAACAACCCAACAAGAAGATATAACAATTATAAATATTTACCCATCCAACATGAAAACACCCAAATACATAAAAACAGTTAATAACAAACATAAAGGAAATAATTTATAGTAATACAGTAATGGTAGGGGGCTTTAATACCCCACTTACATAGATGGACAGATTATCCAACAGAAAATAAACAAGGAAACAGTGGCTTTGAATGACACACTAGACCAGATAGATTTAACAGATATTTTCAGAACATTCCATCCTACAGCAACAGAATACACATGAACTTTTCAAGTTCACATGGAACATTCTCCAGAATAGATCACTTATTCAGACACAAAACGTCTCAAAATTCAAAAAATCAAAGTTATACCATGCATCTTTTCTGACCACAATGCTATGAAACCAAAAATCAACCACAAGAAAAATCTGGAAAGACCACGAATACATGGATGTTAAATAACATGCCACTAAATAATGAATGGGCCAGCCACAAAATAAAAGAAGAAATAAAAAGTTACATGGAAACAAATGAAAGTGAAAACACAACAATCCAAAATCTTTGGGATGCAGCAAAAGCAGTTCTAAGAGGGAAGTTTAGAGCAACACAGGTCTACCTCAAGAGGAAAGAAAAATATCAAATAAACAACCTAACCTTATACCTAAAGGAGCTAGAAAAAGAAGAACAAACAAAACCCAAACACAGCAAAAGGAAAGACATAATATTAGAGCAAAAATAAATGATATAGTAACTAAAACATCAATAGAACAGATCAATGAAATCAATAACTGGCTCTTTGAGAAGATCAACAAAATCAATAAACCTTTAGCCAGACTCATAAAAGACAGAGAGAGAGAGAGAGGGAAGGAAAGAACTCAAATAAACAAAATCACTAATGAAAGAGGAGAAATAACAACCAAAACCACAGAAAGACAAACAATTGTAACAGAATATTATGAAAACCTGTATGCCAACAAATTGAACTTAGATGAAATGGATAAATTCCTAGAAACATATAACCTACCAAAACTAAAATATGAAGAAACAGAAAATTTGAACAGATCAATGAAATTAAATCAGTAATCAAAAAATTCCCAAAAGATAAAGGTCCAGGATCAGACAGCTTCACAGGTGAATTCTACCAAACATTTAAAGAGGAGCTAATACCTATTCTCAAACTATTCCAAAAAATAAAAGAGGAAGGAAAACTTACAAATTCTTTCTATGAGACCAGCATTATCCTGATACCAAAACCAGAAAAAGACACCCCAAAAAAAGGAAAAAAGAGAGAGAGAGAGAGGACTACAGGCTAATATCTCTGACATAAATGAAAAAAATATCAACAAAATGAGCAAACTGAATCCAATAATGCATTAAAAAAATCATTCTGTGGAATGATCAAGTGGAATTCATTCTGGAGATGCAAGGATGGTTCAATATTGACAAAACAATGTGATATGTCACATGAATAAGAGAAAGGATAAAAACATAGGGTCATTTCTTTTTTTTTAAGTTTTTATTTATATTTATTTTATTTATATTAGTTAACATACAGTGTAAAATTAGTTTCAGGTGTAAATTATAGTGATTCAGCACTTCCATACAACACACGACCTCATCACAACAAATTCACTCCTTAATCTCCATCACCCATTTAAACCATCCCTCCACCCACCCTCCATTCTGGTAACCATCACTTTGTTCTTTACGGCTACACTCTTTTTCTTGGTTTGCCGCTTTCTCTCTCTTTCTTTTTTCCCTTTGCTCATTTGCTTTGTTCCTTAAATTCCACATATATGTGAAATCATATTGTATTTGTCTTTCTCTAATTGCCTTATTTCACTTAGTATAATACTCTCTAGCTCCATCCATGTTGTCGCAAATGGCAAGATTTCATTCTTTTTTATGACTAAGTATTATTCCATTACACACACACACACACACACACACACACACACACACACCACATCTTCTGTATCCATTCATTAGTTTATGGGCACTTGGGCTCTTTCCATAATTTGGCTATTGTAGATAATGCTGCTATAAATATCGAGGTGCATGTATACTTTTGAACACATTTAATGCAATCCCTATCAAAATACCAATAGCATTTTTCACACGGCTAGAATAAACAGTCCTAAATTTGTATGGAGCCACAGAAGATCTCAAATAGCCAAAGCATTTTTGAAAAAGAAAAACAAAGCTGGGATGCATGGGTGGCTCATTCAGTTAAGTGTCCAACTCTTGGTTTCGACTCAAGTCATGGTCTCATGGTTTGTGAGATCAAGCCCAGTGTCAGACTCCATGCTGACAGCATAGGGCCTGCTTGGGATTCTCTCTCTTCCTCTCTGTCTCTCTCTCTGCCCCTCCCCACTTACATACATTCTCTCTCTGTCCCTCAAAATAAATAAATAAATTTTAAAAAATAATTAAAGCTGGAGGCATCACAATTCTGGACTTCCAGTTATATTATAAAGGTATAGTGATAAAAATAGTACGGTATTGGCATAAAAACAGGCACATGGATCAATAGAACACACTGTTCTATTGATCAGAAATAAGTTCACAACTTTATGGTCAATTAATCTTCAACAAAGAAGGAATGAGTATACAGTGGGTTAAAGACAGTCTTTTAAAAAAATGATGTTGGGGAAACTAGATAGCCACTTGCAAAAGAATGAAACTAGACCACTTTCTTTCACCATACACAAAAATAAATTCGAAATGGATTAAAGACCCAAATGTGAGACCTGAAACCATAAAATTTCTAGGAGAGAGAACAGGCAGCAATCTCTCTGACATTGGCCATAGCAACATTTTTCTATATATGTCTCCTGAGGCAAGGGAAATAGAAGCAAAAATAAACTATTGGGATTATACAAAAATAAAAAACTTTTTATTTTGATTGCAAAGGAAGCAATCAACAAAACTAAAAGGCAACCTACTGAATAGAAGATATTTGCAAATGATAAAGGGTAAGTATCTAAAGTATATAACGTACTTATACAACTCAACACCTCAAACCCAAATAACCTGATTAAAAATGGGCAGAAGACATGAACAGACATTTCTTCAAAGAAGACACCCAGATAGCCAAGAGATACATGAAAAGATCCTCAACACCACTCATCACGGAAATGAGATATCACCTCACACTTGTCATAATGGCTAAAATCAAAAACACAAGAAACAACAAGTGTTTGTGAGGATGTGGAGAAAAAGGAACCCTCTTGCACTGTTGGTGGGAATGCAAACTGGTGCAACCACTGTGGAAAACAGTGTGGCAGTTCCTCAAAAAGGTAAAAATAGAACTACCCTATGATCCAGTAATTGCACTACTGGGTATTTACTCCTAAAAGACAAAAACACTAATTCAGAGGGATATATCACCCCTATGTTTATTGCAACATTATTTACAATAGCCAAACTATGGAAACAGCCCATGTTTTCATCAATAGATGCATGGATGAAGAAGATTTGGTATACCAATAGACACATGAAAAAATGCTCAACGTCACTCATCATCAGGGAAATGCATCTGATGCATCTGATTCTAACAGGTGTGATTCTAACAGGGAAATGCATCTGATGCATCAGATGCATCTGATTCTAACAGTTTTGATAATCAAAACTATAATGAGATACCACCTCACACCTGTTAGAATGGCTAAAATCAAGAAGACAAGAAATGAATGCTGGCAAGCATGTGGAGAAAAAGGGACCCTTGTGCACTGTTGGTGGGAATGTCTCACCCATCAACTCACCCACCCACCCACTCACCCACCCACCAACTCACCCACCCACTCTCTCTCAACAATAAATAAACATTAAAAAAAACTTTTGCTCTTTGAAAGACACTACTCAGAAAATGAAAAGGCAAGTCACAGACTGGGAGAAAATATTAATAAAGCACATGTCTGATTAAGGACTTGCATCCAGAATATATGCAGAGCTCTCAGACTCACCAATAAGAAAACAAACTGCCCAATTAAAAGTGAGCAAATGATATGAACAGATCCTTCACCAAACAAGACAAAGAAATGGCAAATAAGCATATGAGTAGATTCTCCACATCATTATGCATTAGAGAAAGACAAATTAAAATCATATTGAAAAACCACTTCACATCCATTAGGAAGGCTAAAATGAGATTAAACATACCAAAGATTGGCAAGAATGGGGAAGAACTAGAATTCTTTTACTATG